CGTTTAACCTTGCCAGTATACATCAACGAAAAATTATTGTCAGAGGACTAAAAAAATAACTATCATGTGTTATTAACAAAATTCTACCATAAAAATATTTTAATAGATCATATGTTTGTCAAGTTTTTCAATTTTTACTAAACATATATTTACTTATAAAAAGTTTAACAAAGTAAGATTGAAATAATATTTACATAACAAAAAAACCCGAAAAATCCGACAAAACCGAACCAATCCAACCCGATATAGTTGGTATGGTTTGGTTTTAATAAAAACCGAACCAACCCGGTCCATGTAAACCCCTAACCAGTACTTATTTTTTATTCTATGTTTGATTCACTAATTAATATATATTTTATGATTAACGTTTAATTTTTTTTTTTCTGAATTGTGATATCAAAAAGTATGACTAAAATTATGACTCTTGTTTCACATGTACATGAACGTGGAAATTCTTGAGGGGTAAATTTATTAGACAATTATTCTTGTATTCCGATTAGACTTTCATTTCAGATAGATTTTATTTTATTTATGTATGAGGTATCTTTTTGTCTCACAGTTTTGTGGACCCAGGTTTTTGTGGACCCAGGAGTGTAAGATTGGGGTCCACAAATTTGTGAGACAAAAAGGAGCCTCACACAACTAATATAAATTGTGTGAGATACACAATAAAACTTCTCCGGGTTTATCTATTAAGTAAGCAAGTGGGACCCATGAGTCTATTTGTCAAGCTATAAGAAAGCCTCACATAAGTATGACATGGCATGTGAGACATAACATAAAATTTCTCAATTGGTTTGTTATCAAAATATCTGATCTCTACTGTAATAAAGTTTGTCTAATAAAAGATGTTACCGGAGGCAGAGCCAGGATTTCACTCTTATGGGCTCGGGATTCTAATTATTTTAAGTGACTGGGTTCTAAATTAATAATTTATACATATTCAATAGATTTTTTAAGACAAATACAGGGTTGAACCAAAACTACTAAGTTCGGTCGAACCCGTTGGCGGCACTCTAGCTCCGCCCCTGGATGTTACCTACGATTGTTGTTAGGCATATCATGTAAAGTTCTCTCTGTCTCTCTTGCAAAAAGAAAAAAAAAATGGTTTATTTTTAACGATTGAATTATGTTTCTGCTATACAAGTAGAAGGCGCTGTAAGGAAAATCTAATATGTTTGTTGTTTTCTTTCTCCTTTATCTGGATACAATGAGTTAATAACCACCATATGTTGGTAATTATGTGGTAATGTAATGTTTCTTTTTCCTTGTTGCATCTAACAGTTTGTTGCAATTGTACAGGTGTTGTCCACTCGTCTCGGCAGAAGCTGTCATTTGTAATATCTGTTGTGATGGGAGAAAATTTTGAGTAGAAAAGCTAGATAAGTCAAATGATGTACGTTAAGAAGTTACGTGCATCTCTTCTTTCTTATTCTGTTGTTAGTATACGTATTCTTGATTGTGCGGTTGTCCTGAAGAGTAAGGGATAAAAGGCACTTCTTTTTAGTGTTTTTTAATATAGCAATAGTAATTAAATCTGACAACAGGAAAATATTCTTAGCTATGCAGCCCAAAGAACTATGGTTCAATTTTTTTTTTAATTTGATTTAGCCGATAAACTGCCCGATAACCGCCCGATAATTGTTAATCCGATACCTATTCGCTCGTTGTCTTATTAGATGGCTAGGGGATTACTAAGTTTATAATCCGATAAGCGATAAGCCGAACCGTTAAGTGTAATAATCCGTCCAATCCATCCTATAAGCACCCCTACGTAACCTAGTGGTCAATGAAGTGAGGAAGAATCATGAGGTCTCATGTTCAAATCTCAATAATTACCGAAGCCTTGATGGCTAAATTACCCGTCACTTATACTTGATGAGAGGTAGTGGTGGCAAAATGGTTAAAAGAAAACAATTATCCACCTATATTATCCATTAAAAATGGGTTGGATAATGAACTTGTTAAAAACGAGTCAAATATGGATAATAACCATATTATCCACTTAGTAAATGGATAACCAATGGATTTAACTTCTACATTCGTCAAGCCTCAAATTGTCCTCAAGTTTGGTAGATTAGGAATTCTCCCAAAAGTGATCATATTCAAGAAGTCGTGGATATATAGATATCCATATGGGATTTTTTCATACCTATACACTATTGAAAACTTTATTACCCTAAATGTCCATGTTTAGTTAATTACCCGGCATAAACAAGTTTTGTTTACAAAATATATATATTCCACCTTAAAAGACTCCCAATCCATTATTTGTGCATTCAATCAATGAATTTAGTTACATTATTTTCCTTTTTTTTCTCCCCTCTTCTCTCCAAAATCGGAAGCATAAGGAAAAAAATTAAGTTTTGATAACAAATTAAATAAACGGCAACCTTCATGAAAAATCCAATTACGTTATGTAATGCTTAAGTTGAGATCGGAAGCCTTTATTGAAGATATTCACAATTATCTAAAGAATTTTTCACCATTCCATGTTAGGATCAAAAGAAGAAATGTATGATTTCAAGGCAAGAAGATCAGATTCATCATTGCTAATATAGGGAAATGTAATTTTAGTCCATTACTCCAGGGACACCTTTTGTACTCGGTAGATATGAACTGTAAATATCGGTTTTCTATAAGGAAAAAAAATACACACAAAAAAACAAATTTCTGAAATTAGTTTTGAACACATCTGCTCAAGCGAAATAAAATAGAAATAATCGATACAGATTTGGTGAATTCAATTATCACGTAATAGTTAAGTACCATAAATACAAATTTTATATAAAATTTGTACAATATATCTTTTGTATATTTTGTATCTGATTTATACATAGTAAAAATAAATTTCATACAATTAATTATATATTATATAATTTATCTACAACTTTTACACATTATTTCTACCCAATTAAATACAACTACAATAACATACAACTAAAATACAAATTTTATATAAAATTTATACAATATGTCTTTAGTATATTTTGTATCTGATTTATACATAGTAAAAACAGATTTCATATAACTAATTATATATTATACAACTTAACTACAACTTATCTTCAAATTTCATACATTATTTCTANTATATATATATATATATATATATATATATATATATATATATATATATATATATATATATATCAAATCAATTTTTTCAAGTATACATCTAACTGTTTTACACATTTATAAATACAGATTACTTTCTGTTCGGGATAATTACTCTGAGAGGCTGACTCAAACCATCTCTCAACAAAGTTACTCTGTCTCAGATGAGTTAGAGAAGGGCATTGTTCAAGTTAAAACAATTGGCCAATTAGTGGAGTCCATGCAAGTGAGTGAACTATCTTGTAGTATTAATTTAACCTGTCTTTCATGTTAATAGTTGGAAAAGTGCACATCTTTATTTTTCTTAATTTATGGTTTGAAAAAGTGGTTGAGCATTTGCATAGCTACGCTGAAAATTGAAGTTTCAGGTTTATTTTTTGCTTTGGTTCTCTTATTGTATGGTTTGAAAAAGTGGTTGAGCATTTAGAATATGAAAAGTTCTTACATTACATTTATCTTCTTTTGATATTCTGAAAGAATACTGTAACGACCCCGCCGGTCGTTTTTGGAATTTACGCCCCGATCCCCCATTAACTGCTTCCCCTAAGTTCATTTCTGCTATTTTGGTTTGCCGGGACGTTCGGTGTTGGGATTCGGAGTGTTTTGGGACACTTAGTCCCTAAATGAGAGCTTAAGAATTAAAAAATGGTCCATAATCGGAACAGTGTGAAGAAGACCTCGGAATGGAAATCCGATGGTTCCGTTAGCTCCGTTAGGTGATTTCGGGGTTGGGAGCGTGTTCGGGATGTATTTTGGAGGCTCATAGCTCATTTAGGCTTGAAATGCCGAAGTTGGAATTTTTGAAGTTTCCGGTCCGATAGTGAGTTTTTGATCCGAGGGTCGGATTGGAATTCCGGAAGTTGCGGTAGCTCCGTCATGTCATTTGGGATGTGTGTGCAAAATTTTAGGTCAATCGGATGAGGTTTGGTTAGGTTTTTTATCGAAAGCGTGTTTTGTTGGAATTTGAAGTTCTTAGGCTTGAATCCTTGATTAATTCGTGTTTCCGACATTGTTTTAGGTGGTTTAAGGATTGGTACAAGTTTGAATAATGTTATGGGATATGTCCGTAGGTTTGGTTGAGGTCCCGGGGGCCTCGGGTGTGTTTCGGATGCTCGACGGAGCATTTTGGAGTTTCAAAGTGTTGCAGAAAATCCTTCAGCTGTGCAGGTCCCAATTCCTTCTTCGCGTTCGCGGTATCATCCACGCGTTCGCATAGCTTTGGCCTTCTTCCTCTTCGCGTTCGCGTCCTCCTCTATGCGTTCGCGTAGAGTAATTCTGGAGGAAGACAAGTTTCTTCATTGCATTCGCAATTAGTGCTCCGCGATCGCGTAGCTTCACACGTTTCTTAACCGCGNACTGAAATTAGGGATTGAGAGATAGAGGGAGAGAGCGCGCATGAGAGAGAGAGAGAGAGAGAGAGAGAGAGAGAATAAAGATGAGAAATAATTGATTCCTAATATAAAGGGATACTCATTTAATTCCTAAAGTGTATATAATTGATAAATTTGTATATAGGAGGTAATTACATTGAAACTTGAGTAGGGAGGGCAATAAGGTTTCCAATAGTGTATAGGTATGTAAAAATCCCTATCCATATTATCCGACGGTTGACCCGTTTTTTATCCGTATTAAATATGGGTCGGGTCGGTTAATTATCCGTTTTTTTTCATTACTTGTTTTCGACCCGTACATATCCGATCCAACCTACCCGTTTGCCCCCAAGGGAGGTATGAAATTATTTGGACACCACCATCATAAAAAGAAATTCTATTACCAAATCAAGTTCTCATGAACAATTATTTAGTCATTAAATTTGTATGCAAAAACAAAAGCTCATTCTATGTACTGTGTGCTACTTTTAAATGCCAACTTTAAATAGGGCCAGATGGTGTAAATAATGCCATATGTTGTAACGAAATAGATACAGAACACGATAAAATAGGTGGAGCAGCGAAAGAAAACACTCCTAAATCAATCAATCTGCAAACAAAAACCCCTAAAATCGATTTCTCGAGAAAATGGAAGGCGAGGCAATCACCCAGATAATGGTAGGAGTGAACGAGTCAACGATCAAAGGTTATCCACATGCTTCCATTAGTAGTAAAGGCGCATTCGAGTGGACTCTTAAGAAGATCGTTCGTAACAACACTTCTGGCTTCAAACTCCTCTTCCTCCATGTTCAAGTTCCCGATGAAGACGGTTATTTTCTTTCTCTCTCTATAAATATTGCACAAATCGTGTCATTTTCCACGTGTCAATTTGTGATCTCTTGTTGAAATTGTTCCAACTGATTTGCGCCTGATTTTATTGTTGTTGTAGTAATTGTTGTTATTTGTTGTGTATCAAACTAATCTATGTGTATTGTATCGAACTGATTACTGTGTAATTTTACTTGGTTGTTAAAAACTTTAGTTCTGATATTTGACCTAAGCGAAATATTGTAGGAGTAACTAATTTGTAGAGCGAAATATTACAACTAATTTGGTGTTGAGATGTAGTAATAGAGAAGTAGTAGTAGTAGTTGTTGTGTATCGAACTGATTTTTTGACCTAAGCGAAATATTGCAACTAATCTGAAGTTCAGTAGTAGTAGTAGTGATGGTAGTAGTACTAACCCTCAGGGGTTGGCCTGGTGGCAATTGACTTGAGCCTTGGGGTATGCTCCCTTTCAAGGTCTCAAGTTCGAAACCCACTGGGTGCAAACAATTTCTGAGGGCCATCGGACTGGGTAAAACCTGAATTAACCGTGGTGCACTTGCGGGAAACTCCTTGCCGAGGGCCTGTGCACCCCCGGATTAGTCGGGGCTCATAGAGACTCGGACACCCGGTGCAAATCAAAAAAAAAAAAAAAAGAAAGTAGTGATGGTAGTAGTAGCAGTATTTGTTGCTGTTGTGTATCGCAAATTTTATTTGGTTGCTAAATGCTTTAGTTCTGATATTTGACCTAAGTGAAGTAATACGACTAATTTGTAGAGCGAAATATTACAACTAATTTGATGTTGAGATGTAGTAATAGCAGCAGCAGCAGTAGTAGTTCTTGTTGTTGTGTATTGAACTGCTTTTCTTTCACTGCTAACCCCAAGAAATTTCAACATGCTCAAACTTTCCGTTTCATCGAGCCCCGAGCTTCTGGTCCTCCTTTGTGTGTGGGTTCAATTGAATGAATCTGTCAAGTCAAGGAAAACGTACGTAGCAGCAAGGATGGTGTTTTGACCTAAGCGAAATATTGCAACTAATTTGATGTTGAGATGTAGTAGTAGTAGCTGTAGTTGTTCTTGTGTATCGAGCTGATTTGTGTGTAATTCTATTGTAGCAGTAGTAGTTATTGTTGTTGTTGTTGTGTATCGGACTGATCTGTGTATAATTTTATTTAGTTGCTAAAGGCTTTAGTTCTTATATTTGACCTAAGCAAAATATTGCACTTAATATGATGTTGAGATGTAGTACTAGTAGTATTATTAGTAGAATAGTTGTTGTGTATCGTACTAATTTTTGCACAAATGTTATCATTTCTCATGCGTCAAATTATGACCTCGTGTTGAAATTTTTTGAACTGATTTGTAAAGCGAAGTTTTGCAACTAATTTGATGTTGAGATGTAGTAGCACTGATAGTAGTAGTAGTTGTTTTAGTGTATCGAACTGATTTTTTGTGTAATTTTATTTGGTTGCTAAAGACTTTAGTTCTGTTTTTGACCTAGGCGAAATATTGAAAATTCGCAACTAATTTGTAAAGTGAAATATTGCAACTAATTTGTAAGCGAAATGTTGCAACTAATTTGATGTGAGACATACTAGTAGTAGGAGTAGCAATTTGTTGTTGTGTATCAAACTGACGTGTATATTTATTTGGGTGCTAAAGGCTTTAATTCTGGTATTTGACCTAGATGTCACAATTCCCAATTTTACAATTTTTCAGTTTTTCAGCATGATTTCTAAATTAACCAGAGAGTGCAACATTGACCTAGCCATGTTGTTTCAAAATTTCTTCTTTTTCTTTTACATTCTTAAGAGGGGAATAGGAAGCGTCAAGTTGGGAGAACTGGAAAATTTATGTACCTAAGGGTAAAATCATCTTCTTATAAAGTTTATTGGGTTATCGGTTAAACCGTTAATAAAATTGGGCACCGAGACCCAAACCGATAACCCAATAGTAAAATAACACTAAACCGTTATCGAACCGTTAACCCAATAACCCGATACCGATAACCCAATAAGTTTTTTTCGGTTCAGGCTATCGGTTTTACCCGATATATGCCCGGCCCTAGGGTCAACCAGGCTAGGGATTCGGACTCGTCATATGAATTGTAGGGACATTTTATGCCACAAGCTTATTCCAGGATTTGTGCTTATTCGGGCGGAGGGTTGCCTTTGTGATATAAGCCATAAAATAGAACGATCAATGTGAATCAGTAGCTCCCAAGGTAACTCGTCGTTATTATGGCCGCGTGTGATGATTTTCTTATTTGGGTAGCTTTTCTTGAGGTGAAAGAGAAGATAGATTCACTTTCTCTTTCCGCTTGGAGTGGTTCACTCCCTTGTCACTTAAAAGAGCGAAATTGCAGAATCTAGTCTAAAGGCCAAAGAGTCATCTTTGAAGCTACTATTTGTCCTTGTTCATAGGGTCGGGGTGGGGGAAAGGGTTAGAACTTAGAAGGCTATTCCGAAAGAGAAAAGACAGCTTACTCTTTTCCTTAATAGGAGGAACATCAGCACAGGTCAAATTTGTGTATTCCTTTTTTCTTTTACATTTCATGCTTCTATTTCTATTGGTTTTATGGCTAGAATCAAAATATGTGGAAATTTCAAGTTGCATTGGGAAATCATTCCCATGCTCTGTATTTAATTGGGAAATGCAGAAGTCTGTTGTTTTTGCTGGTTCAGAACCATTTGCCTTAGACATGTTTTCTATAGATTGACCATCCTTACATGCGTGATGCATCTAACAAGATCCGATTATCATCGGGCTTCAGTGTGTAAACTTCATTATGCTTTCAATGTTTTGTTCCCAATCTTGTAGACCTGGGCAACATACTATTTCTCCATCATGCAATCTGCCATATTTGGGTTATTCAGTAGCTTATATGTGTCTTGTTGGTCATTTAATTACTAGGTTTTGAAGACATGGATAGCATATTTGCATCACCCGAGGATTTCAAGGTCCTGAAACACAGGGACAAGATTAGAGGGCTCCATCTGCTGGAGTACTTTGTTAACCGATGTCATGAAATTGGGGTACCTGGGTTTCCTTGAATCTTGGCATGAAACTTTAAGCTAATGCTAAATTACTAAGCTAATGCTAGGTTACTAGCTAATATTTGAACTTTACTGCTTGAGGGATACTATTAAATTTTGGTGCTTTCAGAATCTCTATAGTACAAAAACTTCGATACTTACCATGTGCCATTTTTGTAGGTTCCTTGTGAAGCATGGATAAAGCAAGGTGACCCAAAGGAAGTCGTCTGCCACGAAGTCAAACGTGTACAGCCAGATCTTCTTGTGGTTGGCTGCCGTGGTCTTGGTCCCTTTCAGAGGTATGCTTAATTGTAGTAGCAGTTTGATCTTTTTTATTTTTATTTTTATTTTCATGTTTCTATGGGGATATCTCTTCAACCTATTGAGTGTGTGCCCCCTCCACCCAGCGTCCAGCAAGAACAGGCTTCTGGAAACATCATAAAGTATCTAATGCCCCAAATTTCTCGTGTTCTTTATATTCTTCCGCATAGCAACTGAGTTAATAACCATTTCAAAACTTTCATCACCAAAAAGATCTACGGTTCATTTCGTGTCTTCGAAATAGAAAATTTCTACAAGTAGCATTTTCACTAAACCATGGTTTAGGGTATATTGCAGTAGCAAACCCATCTCATTAAGTGATGATTCCAACCACTTGAACTCTCTGCACATGGTTAGAAACCCTTAACACCCAGTTTGGATGGTTGTTACTTATTCTTTCGTATTGTATAGTTTTGTACAACATTATATTGTACGGTATTGTTATTAGATAGATCGTATCGTTTGGTGTGGTTTAATAACACTTTTATTGTTTCAGTTTAGTTGTACATATCATATAATAACTGATAATAAATTTACTAAAATGCCCTTAGTTGTCCAGATAACTCGGTCGAACACTAGAACTTTACGGGCGTTCATGTACCCCAAAACGCGTTTGGAGTGAATTATTTTCACTCTAATAGCTGATGTGAAAAAAAAATAAAGATAAAAATTATAAGCGCGTAAATAACAAAAAAATAAATAAAAAAGATGGCCTCTGCTTCTTTCTTCTTCTTCCTCATCCCTACATTCTTCTTCTTTTTCTCATCGTAGATACAATTTTCCTTGTACCTTTTTTGCTTCACCACTCTCTTTAATTCCTCTCTATAACTTCATAACAAACACTCTTAAACCCATCTTTTCAATGTCTCTTTATCTTTTTCTTTTAAAAGGTAAAGGTTTATTAACTGTATGCCAAGATGGTACCAAAAAAGAGTACAAAACTGCTGGGAGAAGGAAATATCAATGTCTCTTTATCTAATACCCACAATTTCCATTACCATGGTCTCTTTATCTAATACCTAGATTCCAAAAACTATTAATTTTAGTTTTTCCAATCACTCAAGATTTGATTTCCAAAAGAAACAACTTTCATTGATTATGCATGAGCATAGTTGGCCGGAAAAAATGAGGATCTAAAAGGAAAAGGGCGTTGTAGTCCCAAAAGGAGTTTCTCCTTTCCAATCCCACAAAATATTGCCGTTTCATCTCATCTCAAGATTGAGAACCCGACCAAATACGAAATTTTATTTTACGTTTCATAAATACTCCAGTCTCCAGCACCATAGTCCTTCCCTTCTCTAAAATGACAGGAAAATAATGTCATTACCATCTCTCATATATTCATCCTTCTCAAATATGGCAGGATTCTGTTGTTTCAAATACCTGCCCATATGATAATGCTTTTTGCTTCACTGCCAAAACTTTTTGGTTCCATCAAATTGTTTTGAAGAATTGCTTGGGAAAGAAATTTTGTATTAAAAAATACAGAAAGAGTGGAAATAGTAAAAATTTAGGAATGCAAAAAGTAAAACTAAATGATGCCATGCCGATGACGTGGCGAAATTATAGGGAGAGTGTAAATCACCTCCCACCATGCAACTGATTGTGTATGCATAAGGAGGTATTAATTTTACTCTAAATAAGAATAATGGGGTACATGAACGCTCGTAAAGTTTTAGTGGTCAACCGAGTTACTGGTCAAGTATAGGTAAGGGTGGGCATTCGGTACTTCGGTTTAGTATTTAAGAACTTCGGTTCGGTATTTCGTTATTCGGTTTATCAATTGTGTATACCAAATACCGTACCAAAGTTGTTTGGTACGGTTCGGTATTTCTTATTTTGGTTCTGTACGGTTTCGATTTGATACATAATCATGTATCACGTACTCTTAAGAGCTAAGAGCCTAAGCAAACAGAAACAAAATTACAGTGCATTCCTATAAGGTTATAAAATTCATTTGGACCACGTCCAAGTTGAATAAATCAACAAATTGCCATAGAGCCAGATGCACCTGATTATGTGCAAAATAAGGAACTAAGAAACTGGAAACATTAGCAACCAGTAGTAACGAGCAGCAGCACAGCAACAGAATTTCTAACCCAGCAGCAGAATTTTTCATTCAAGTTTACACTTTACACAGATGCAACAAAAACACAGATTCATCATGGAACATCCACTAACGAGTAGCAGCAGAATTAAGCACAATGCAACAAAAACAGAGAGGGCATAAACCTGCCAAACAGAATTCAAGTTTACACTAATAAAAACTAAAGTGTCACAGGCTCACAGCAGTAGGGGTGGGGCATAAAATCCAAAAAACCGAATTCCGAACCGGACCGAATTAATTCGGTATTTCGATTTCTGTTTTTTCGGTATAATTCGGTATTAAATTTTTGGTATTTCGGTATAACGGTACGGTCCACTGTATTAAGATTTTGATATTTCGGTATACCAAAATACCGAATTTTTGAAGTATTTCATGTGCTTCCTAATTTCTATCCTAGTCCTACATTGCCCTAGCCCATCCCAAAATTTTGAATTTGTATTTCTAGCCCAATAAGACTAAGCCCAAGAGTCTTACTCTCTTAGTCTGTTTCCCTTGTTTCTAACGATAGGAATTAGAATTAGGTTTCTCTCAAGTCTTAAGAAAGAAGTGAAGAACAGATCGTCTGCGACTCGAGTGCTGCGACTGCGATAGAGATGGCGTCACGGCAACTTCACGACCTCGGCGTTGACAACTCTCAAGTGTGACTGCTTGTTTCCTCATCTTGACCTTCATTCTTCAATCTTCAACTCTTCAACAGGTTCACAACTCCTTCATTCTTCAATCTTCAGTTTGTATTTTGTTACCAATAGCTTTTTTTTTTTGGGTACAAAAGGCTGTATAAACTATAAACAAATTTCGTCCCAACTTGATAAGAAATCAACCCAAATGCAGAAACTTAGCGGAATCTCTGTTTTCTTCACTTCTCATTTTCATGCATATAACACACAGGAAGAACTAGTAGTAATTGTTGAGACATGATTCGAAACTAAGCCAATAGTACTAACAGGCTGTGTCTCCATCTGCGCTTTAGTATAATTAAAGGTGCAATCTTTGCTGCTAAGAAAGTAATTAATAAGTTGTATATCTAAACTAAACTCTAGTCTCAACTTGTGTTTGTATAATTGTATTTGTTTAATTTTGTATAGATGGCAGATGAAAGTAGAGTAAGTGATGCCGGTTCAACTGAAAGCTTACCTATTACTGAAGATAGCAACACCAACACAATTGATATTCAAGATTCTAAGAAATGAAAAGCCATAGAACCTAGATCCGAAGTTTGAAAATATTTTGATAAATTTGAGGTACATGGGGCCGGTAAAGCAAGGTGTAGATATTGTAAGCAAGCTTATGCTGCTAATACATCTAGGAATGGAACAAGAAGATTGAAAAGTCATTTGACTACATGCAAAGAATATCCTCCTAACATTGATAAAGATAATACTCAAACAAAGATAATTTTTCAATCTTGCCAAAATGATGGAGGATCGCTTTAGAAGTTTGATCAAGAAGTGGTTAGAGGGCTTTAATTGAGATGATAGGTATTGGTGTGAGCCTGAAAAGATGAATAAAATGATTTTTATTGTTTCCGTCTTGGATCCACGTAACAAGTTTGAATATGTTAGCTTTGCACTTGAAGAACTTTTTGGGGAGGAAAAAGAGAAGAAAATAAATGTTGAAGTGTATGCTTATATGAATTCTTTGTTTGGAGAGTATACTTATATGAATTCTTTGTTTGAAGAGTATCTAGATCTTGTCCTCAATCTCATCTAGATCTACTTCTTCTAATAACACGTCTAATACATCTAGTGGGAGTGTTATAACTGTATCATTAATAAGGACGAAGTTTCACTTGAAGAAACAAAAGGAAGATAATGGAAGTGGGGGTGCTAAATCGGAGGTGGATAAATACATTAATGAAGAACACGAGCCTTTTAGTGAAGAATTTGATATCTTAAGTTGGTGGAAAACACATGCTCCTAGATTTCCTATTCTTTCAGAGTTGGCTCGCGATGTGTTGACCATTCCAATTTCTAGTGTGGCGTCATAATGTGCGTTTAGCACCGGTGGCCGTATGCTTGATTCATTTAGGAGTTCATTGACTCCTAAATGCGTGCAAGCTCTTGTTTGTGTTCAAGATTGGCTTAGAGAATAGAAGAATCATATTAGTTTTGAAGAAGAGTTTGGAGTATCTTGAGGAACTCAGCTTGGTAAGCTTTAATATTTTGTGTGTATTTTGTTCAAAATAATATATTAGACTTGTTTATTTGTATGACATATTTGGTGGAATTATCTTTGGATATGGAAAATAGTGGAAGCACTACCAGCATTGTTGATGTATAGTTGCAACTTGAGTGGTAAGTTTAATACTTTATTGTTTGGTGATATACTTTTGTAGTTTTGTTCATCATAAAAAAATAATATTCTTAGCAGCAAAGATTATTCTAGATGTATTAGCAGCAAACGCTTGCTTACAATATAGTTCCTAGATGTATTAGCAGCATAAGCTTGCTTACAATATCTACACCTTGCTTTACCGACCCCATTTACCTCAAATTTATCAAAATGTTTCCAAACTTCGGATCTAGGTTCTATGGCTTTTCTTTTCTTAGAATCTTGAGTATTAATTGCGTTGGTGTTGCTATCTTCAGTAATAGGTTAGCTTTCAGTTGAAGCGGCATCTCTTACTCTACTTTCATCTGTCATCTGTACATAATTAAAACAAATACAATAATACAAATACAAAATTAAGACTAGAGTTGAGTTTAGATATACACCTTATTAATTACTTTTTTAGCAACAAAGATTGCACCTTTAATTATACTAAAGCGCAGATGGAGACACGACCCAGTGTTTTGGAAAGCGTTAAGCGCAAAAAAGCGACGAGGCCTCGCTTCACAGAAGCGAGAAGCGCGCGCTTTTTTGCTGTGAAGC